TTCGGATAACTGATATTAAAAGCTTCATATATATAACTTTGGCAGTGCCAAAGTTAAGGTTAACAAAATGACTCATTGCATTTTAGAAAATCGATTTCGAATTTCAAGAATCTTGGGAATTATTTTAGAAAATCGATTGATTTTCTAGAATATTGGAAAATCAAACTCGAATTTCCAGTATTTATAAAATCGACGCCGAATTTTGATATTTTTGGAAATTCTATGGCGATTTTCTGAATAAAATGAAAATTCAATTTATAGAAAATCGAACCGATTTTCTAGAAAATAGAAAATCGCGAATTTCTAAAAAGTCAGAAAATCTACGAGCATTTTATAAATATCAGAAAAAGCTCCACGATTTTCCAGATCGATTTCCTATAAACTAGAAATTAATTCCAAATTACGGTGTAGATCCAGCAGCAACATGTTTTTTCCTGTGCAAAGAAAAATGCTAATCTTGACAAACTGAAATGGCGATCTGACAGTCGTAATAGCGATTTTATTCAAATTCTTGATACAAGCTCGTTTCAGTTTTTTTGTCCAAAATGTGGCAGGATTCTGGTTAGATCATGAAAAGACTGTAATTTGTGATCTTGTGAGATACATACAGCATATACTTCTCTTTTTATATTTTCTGTGCGGGCTACCCGGTAGAATTGGAAACACTCAAATCGTATTGTTATAACGTCGAAAACGTTTCATAGCTGTTTGAAATTCTCTTTTGTATACTTGTGATGGTAAAACAAATATGATAAATATTGTAACACTCGGTAAAAGCGATATAAGATAGCCAGATAAAAACAGATGTGATTTACGCTCTGGTTCCATACATACATAAATAAACGATATAATTAATCTTGGAAATGCCAATAGAGTTAATATGCATGGACTAATAATTAAATGTTTATGTATTTGAAACTGCTTCATTAAAACAGAGTAATCAGTTTTCTGCTTTGAATTACTTGCTTTAGTACGGGTAGTATTCCTATAAGTTTATCAATAACTACAATAAGACAAAATGAGCCAAAGGGTATAAAGAAGTAGTTGTACATGCAAGAGACCTAGTCGAGTAAGAAGTACAAGTTCGATTTTCATTAGACTAAACTTTCAGGAAATATTCGTCATAAAAATATAGAGAATAAATCTTTTTAAATCACTATCTGCAAACGGTGATAGAAGAGTGCAACTAATAGTCTAAAACTAATGTGATATTATATCCCTGTGTCAAAGTTAAAGTGTCTTTTTTCATAGACTATTCGGTCAAATTGATTTAAATAAATAATACTTACTTATGCACATCATTGTTGTCTGCTTTGATTTCTAATGGTAATATTTTACTATCATTTAATACTGCTTTTCTATGTGCTGTTATAATAATAATGATAACAGATGAAAGTAAATTAATTAAGAAAGGTAAAATAAAATGACATATATTTATTATAGAATTATATGTTTTTAACCATAAATTTTCGTTAAAATTTACAACACACCATAAACGATTACTTTTTGGATCGTTGAGTAATCGTCGATAAAATAGATCATGTATTGAACTAATTATATTTAAAATGATCACTATTAATGGAATAAATTTCGCTAAATATCTACTCTTTTGTTTATTGAATTTTGGACCTAAAATAACATTGATAGCTCGTTCAATAGCTATACAGGCATTCAACCAATCACTTATTGTTGGTAAAAATTTTAGTAGAATTTCAATTAGAAAACAATTAATAGTAATAACTGTTCGATTAAATGATAGACTTGTTTGTGTTAACAAATAAATAAATTTTATTGTTATAATGCAAACAGCGAGTAGAGAAATGATTGATGAATATAATAAATATATTCCACAACCAAAATCGCGTGTTTTCTTTTGAGAAAATGTGATTATAGATAAAATATTTAGCAAAACGCCAAATATAAACAGAATAAATGCAGCTATTAGGCTTAATTTAATGATTAATGGTTGTTTTTCTATTGACAGTCCTTGGCGGATATGTGGAACAATAATTGAATCTAAGGAAAGACTAAAATCGCCTGTTGAAAATTGACATATTGAACCATAATAACATTCTGAACATAAACATAACGTATTTTGTGGACAAACGTCATCATCTTGTATACAACTGCCACCGTTTTGACAATAATTTTTAATACCCTTACATCCAAATGGATTATGGTTATATTGATAACAATCAACAAAATGTTCTGATGTACATAAACACATTTGTTGTTCATCATAAAAACATTTAAGTTCTTGATAATCTCTACATGGCTTATAGTAATATTTCAGCTTTTGTAATGAATGATATGAATGTATTGTTTGATTACTTAATAATTCATTAATATATGGACAACGATTTTTTATCGTAACAAGGGTTGATAATTCATTCACCGACTGTTTTAATAACATAATAAGATAATATATTTTCTTTATTTCTACATAAGCAATTAATGGTAAACGCTCGCTAGGATAATAAACAGTTAATCTATTTTCATATTCTAATATTGATTTAAAAAAGGTATGACGAGTAGGCCCTTTGTTGCGAACTAAATCAACGAAATGTATTAATATAGGGGATGAAATCGATACTAAATGATCAAATGATATATGAATTTTTGCTCGAACTATTTCACAGTTAGAACCCATATATTCATCTTTACAGATACATGCATATCTTTTTGTTTCAAAGAGTCTTATATCAAGAATAATACATGTTCCATCATTGAAACAATTATTCGGTTGACATGGATTGAACGAAACGTGGCATAATGATCCAATTTTGTTTAATGGACAAATACAGAGAGGAGATAAGCCGATTATTCCGCGACCCATACATACAGAGTTATGTGAACATGTGCAATTATCTTGAATACTACAAGTCACACCTGACTAACCATGATAACAACGACAGTATAATTTATTTATATTAAAATTAGTATATTCAACACAATAACCATGTTGACAGTCTAAATTACCGCATGACACGTGTTCATACTTGTTTTCTGGTATAAATAGATCGGCTACCAGACGATTAACCGGAAGAAAAGTAAATTTTATCTCATAATACCATGATGATATATATTCAATACGGTTTATGGTATCCATACGAAATAGATCAATACGCACAAAATAAGTGACATCTCTGCTATATTTTTTATATAATAAATATAAAGAATATTTAGGTAAACATTCATTGGATGGCATAAAAATAATATGTTCATATGAATGAATAATATTGCTTCTGTTATCAAATAATAAAAAGAGCAATTTAAATATAATATGTTGTTCAAATGCTGGTGTGTTTAATTGTACAATTATATTTAGACGTTCATTTTGATATTGACATGGATCACCATAATACGATGGTGAACAAAGACAAACTTTTTTATTATTTGTGAAACGAACAATTATTCCACGGTTACAATAGCCAGAGAGATAATAGTTTTCAGCATAATTTTCTATTTGTCTTATTGCTGAATAATGAGCTGTTGTTTTACTAATATTATTATAAGTGCTGAATGATCCTAACGGAGGATATTCGAAAAGATTTTGTGTTGAAAAAAAGCGCTTTTTTGGAGCATCAATTAAATCGCAAAACATTTCATCTTCGCAATTATCTCGACCATTGCAACGAACATCCGTAAGTACATAACGGCCATTCTTACATAAAAACACATTTGATTGACATTTACTATCTGTAAGCCATGGACATACCATTTTTTCGTCATCGCCAAAAGGACAATCATTTTTGCAGTCACATAATTGCATAGGACTAATGCATATTGTACTGTTTAAACACCGATATCTTAGTTCTATTTGCAGGGGGTATGCTTGACGACAATGATCTCTTTCGTCCCAGGATCCCAAACAATCAATTTCATTATCACCACTTTTGTTCAGAGAGACACAGCTACGATCTTCATAAGGTTTTGCTATACAATAATGGCTACGATTGTCACATGGTTTACGCCATTGTGATTCCACTGGACAGTTAAATTCATCAATACCATTTTTACAATTCCAAACACCGTTACAACGTGTAAAGTGTGTTAAACATGGCCATTCTTCGCTGCAATCCGTTTCGTCTGTTTGATTGTGATTATTCCATATTTGTACTACACCATTACATATAAATGAAAACTCAATGTGATCTACTGTTGATCTTCCGGTTAATTTTGAATAGTTCGGACAGTTATTGAAAAATAGACTCATACAACTGTGCTGTGGAGTTTCATCTGATTTATCTAAACAATCTGGATGTGAATCTTTTAAAAGCTTTCGCGGTATACATTTATCTTCAGATAAACATTTAAAGCGATGTGGCATATTCATTTGACATGTATATGGATATGTTTCATCAGCTGAATTAAAACAATCAGGAGTTTCATCAACTAAACGATATTTTGATATGCATCTTGATGATCCCTTACAATGGAATAAGGATGAATGAGAACAATTCAAATCACTTTGGTAATCGATAACTTTTGTTTGATTGGAATCATTAACACTCAGATCAGGTAGAGAGCATGCACGAAATATTTTTTCAAGATCTTTAATAAACCAATACCAATTATCGTATATAATGTTCAAATTGTCAAATTCTTCAAACTTTTGGCATAATGTGCCATTTATTTCTATCGCTGTTGCTGTAATAAGTGATTTACACCAACGTTGATCATAACATATATATATCGGTGCTATATTTGTCTTCCAATCGGTTTTATTTGTTGTATAAATGAAACGTACGTAACTGTATAGAATTGGTTTTGGTGGAAAGAAAAATTCTGATGGACATATATTATGAATCGATTCATTGACAATTTGTTGACAATCTACAGTTAAATTTAAATCAATTGGCTGTCCCAGGGTTACTTCGTATTTTGCAAATCTCAGATAACAAATGAGAAATAACCAGCATTTATATGATAAATCGGATGTCGGATTTAACAATAACATTTTTTTGGTATACATTATCTCTCGTCGTGTAGGGCACATCCATACAGATGGTAAACTAGACATTGTGCATGTACCATCTCCACATGAAAATTTCATCGATGGACACTTATTTTCTTCACAGTATGTAGACGGATCAGTAACACAATTCACTACCTGTAATACTTGTATGTCTAAAGGTTCATCATAGCCATCCATACAATCTTCAACTTGGTCATAAAAGAAAGAGGCAGGTATACAAATACCACTCCTACATCGATATTCTGTCAATGGGTTACAAACATTTGTTTCCAATTTTGAACAGAACATTTCATCTTCTCCATCATCGCAATCGATTTTACCTGCATATTATAAAAAAATAGATCAATAGCTATATCTAGCATATGTCCTCTATAACTTGTTGACATATAAATTTACTAATAATTCTGTCATATTTGGAACAATATATTAATTATTTAAAGCAAAAAAAGGTTTAAACACCTTAGCGTTTCTTAGTAGTCTCATGGACTTTCTATCATGTTTACGAGGAATGAAGTGTCTACTTCATCCTTTGAGGCTTACTGGGGCTACTGTTGATGAATTTTAGGTTAAACACTTTTAAGTGCTCTCTTGAAGATCGACTCTTTTGATTTTCCACTATAGAATTGATCTATCTACAGTAATTATGTTTTTGAACAATAAATAAGTGATTGAAGCTAAAACTCACCAAACACATTCGTATGTATAAATTGAAGTCAAAAACCAACGTGCGCCATACATTTTAAACAGGTTATTGAAGAAAAAATTAAATATTTGTAAAATCAGTAAAATTTGGTCGAGAGAAGTATCGTGAGAGTTAAAATTCTTGTTTTATGAACTATCGATAGCGTAAGAATCAATGAGAATGACTATGTTTTTGGCAATAGTATGATACGGAGACTTTATGTTTTTACCGACAAAAAACATTTATTTAAAAGTATTCTTAAAGATTTTTCAAATAGTAAAAGGTTTTGATCAGTCATAAAAAAGTATCGCGATCCTGTTGCAGACTTACCATCTTCTAGCAATATAATTCGTCTACAGCCAGTGATGATTCTTCTACAGCCGAGTTATTATCTACTTTCTTTCAAACTAGTTTTTCACAACTCTCTTCACTTACCATGAATAATTTTCAACTTCCTTTATCTTCTCAGTCTCTATCGGAAATTAAATTTGATGTTTCTGATGTGTTTAAAGCTATAAGTAGTTTAAAAAATAAAACTTCTTTGGGCACCGATCAAATTCCTATCAAACTCTTAAAGGTTAGTGCCGATGTAATTTCTCCTCAGTTATATCATATCTTCTCTCTTTCTCTTTCGACCGGTGTGTTTCCTCTTGTCTGGAAAGAAGCTATTATACGTGCCATACATAAGAAAGAAAGCAAGTTACTCGTCAAAAACTATCGTCCTATTTCACTATTATCTAATGTTAGTAAAGTGTTCGAGAAGCTGATTTACAAGCATTTATACTCATTTCTATGCACAAAAAACTTTTTTAACCCAACTCAGTTTGGCTTTCGTCCAAGTACTTCAACCGTAGATGCTCTTCTTCTTCTCACTCAAATGGTTTACCAACATCTAGAAAAAAAGTGCAGATTAATTGGCATATCATTTGATTTTGAAAAGGCATTCGACACTGTACCACATCATATTCTACTACAAAAACTGGCTAAAGCAGGAATAGTCGGAAGTCTTTTGAAATGGTTCGCTTCTTATCTTTCAAATCGTACACAAAAAGTTTTTGTGGGCTCTGTTTTTTCTTCTTCTGTTCGAGTGTCGTCTGGAGTTCCTCAGGG